CAAGAAGCTACTAGGAGCAAAGGGCATCGCTACTAGGAGCAAGGACGGAGCAAGGACGCTACTAGTAGCTCTTGGCATTTCTACTGGTAGCAAGAAGCTACTAGGAGCAAAGGGCATCGCTACAGCTCGTCGACAGGAGATTGCTGGCATCCGGGCGGGTCGACGGATTGCCTGGCGGAGTGACAGCTTCGACTTGGAGCCCTTGGACCGGCCCCAGGTGCGAATGATCCGCTGATGACAAGGAAAGTGAAAAAGACAAAAGGTCAAACATGGTGAAGTTAAAATGTGATGCGATTTCGACAGAGAGAAAAGAAGATGGATTTGGAGAAAATTGGAGAGGTAGCTCAAGTACGCTACTAGTAAGCAAGGCGCAGCAAGGAAGCTACTGCTTTGGACGTGCAAGGGCTCAGGGGAACTTCTCCGTCATAGGCAGAAAGGCATCGAAAAACCCTTTCCAGGGTCGAAACGGTTGCTGGATGTTTTTCATACAAAGAAATGGACGTAGTAATGTTTTAAGGAACATATGCTAAAAGAAGAGTAAGGAATCATAAGCTTTTTATTCAATGTTATTCCAGCTTTAAAAAAACGTGGAACAGTGGACGAAAGAGAGAAGGAAGATGTAGGACGCAAGAAAGGCATGCGTAGAAAAAAGTGGAGAATACCCAAGACGACCTTGTGATGCAGGAACGAATGCTGAGCTCCAAGTCTGAGAAGTCTCAATCAAACTTGGAGAGATCCGAGTTCTTCAAATCAGCATCCCAAGACATGCCAGAGGTGCCGACTCGGCATTCAATCTTGTTACTAGTAGCTTCTAGCTACTAGTAGCGATGCCCTTATTAAAGCAAACAAAAGGAAACATATTTGTGTCATCCTTTTTGTGGAGTCACCTTAGCATCGAATGCGTTTGATTGAGTTGAGGAGTGTTTGGCGGGCTATGCCCGACCGCTCGATTTGTGCAGGCTGCTCGCAAGGCAAAGCGAAAGGCGAAGCTCAAGAGTCGGAGCGAGGAGATGCATTTGTTCCTAATTACTACCGATGGCCTCCAACCTACTAGCTGGCCTTTGTCCAAAATAACATAACAAAGGTTCAATTTGATTCATCAATTTATAGATTTCACTGTGCCCAAGGTGGTGCCTGACTTATCGCAAGTTGGTTCTTCTTGACTGTCCCAGGTTATACGGATCCCAAGAAAGTTGGGGAATTGGATGAACCAACGACAGCTGTAGGGTGATTTAATGTGTGTTTGCTTTTCATGCCCACGGGCTGTTCCAGGAGCTTCGAAGCCTTCGCCAGAGATTTTGTCATGCAATGAGAGTGGCAGCGGCCAGAGAGGCGCAGCTTCTCCGAGCTTCTGAGGTTCAGCCTACACCAAACCAAGCAAAAAGCAACAGGGCACTCTTTAAGTTTGGAAGTTTGTCACCCACCTCCATGTGACTAATCGAAGTGGAGGTATAGGACCGTGGTGTGCGCAGCGAAGGCATGCGACGGCTTTGCGCAACAGCTTTTAGTGGATGGGAAGCAACGTCGTAGGCATAGGGGACTTTGCCCGTAGTAGCCTCGCCACACATCATCATACAATCTCAGAAGGCATTTGCTTCAGCCTAGAGATAATCGTCAGTTTCCAAATGTACCCTGCCCGGATTCATCAGTTCGTGGAGGCAATTTGGTTAGGGTGCTCGACAATAAACAATGGTCCAGTATCAATACAGTAGCCAGGTTGAGTATCAACAGAAGGTGTCCAATCAAGACCTGTGAGATTTCTGTACCATGAAGCTTGCCTCGAGGGCCACAAGTAGTCTCGCAGCAATGGCAGCACCGAATCTCACAAACCTGTTGGGGGTTTGCAAGGTTACCTGATGACATTTGATGACTCTCAAAATATGATGCTTGCACTAGGATGACTTTGCCCGTTTGTTCCTGGGAGGTCCCCCTGTCTTTATGAAAATCTTCAAACACTAGTGGCTTCGTGTTACTAGTACCATTTGGCCTCCAACCTAATAGCGATGGTCTAGCTACTAGTAGCTGAATTGAAACACACAACTTGGATGTTGCAGGATGGGTGCATGGGCCATGCAATTCTCAAAGCTTGGCAGAATTGCATTCAGACAGAGGCTGGCGCACGAAGATCACGCGCACCCTCCACAAAATGGTATTTGCCACAGCTACAGACATGTCGTATTCCTTTTCCCATACAAGAAGCTACTAGGGGCTCCTGGCCTTACTACTAGGAGCAATGACGCTACTAGTAGCTCCTGGCATCGCTACTAGGAGCAAGAACGCTACTAGTGTATGTCCTGTGCCGTTTTGGCCTGTTTCAGGTGAGGGAACGGAGGCTTGCGAGCTCAAACTGCCTTCGAAAGGGCATTGATGAAGTCATGTCGAAGGTTGAACCTGGTCCGGCTCCCGGCAACGGATCCAACGAATCCTTGTGGTCAACAATTCCCATTGTTGAGTGTTTAGTGTTTTTGTTTAGTATTGTTCTCGGAATTATGTTTTTTTTGATATTTTCTGTTAGTCATGTCTTTGTTCCTAGGCTCTGTGCTGGGAATCTTTGTGTCCCGAACGTCATTGACACAGCTCGCTGTGCTGCATGCCTGGGCGCATGCCGTGGTCCTGAGACGCCATCAGGCGGCAACGTTGCTGTCCTTAATGTATTAACTATACTCAGGAACAAGACTACAATACCATCCTTATTTTAATACGTGTTTTGGCCAGTATACAAGAACATCAGTTAGTCTTGTTAGCATTTTTCTTGTTGGCAGGTGGAGCTGCAAGCTCAAGAAGAGAAGGCAAGATTGGTTTTTGACCTGCTGCGAAAAGTGTTTGGGGCGATTTTGGATTGCGTTTCGGAGTCTTCCTACTCAGGCTGGAGTGCGGAGCACGGCTGCGTTGTCCATCTTGCGCAACGAGCTGAGGGCTATTCGCTGCCAGAGGTATCGCGGGATCCTTAGATGAATTAGTACAGTAACATGAACGCTACGAACGGGGTTGCTGGCATCGCGACGAGGAGTCGCGTTCGCATGCTACTAGGAGCAAAGGG